TTAACCTTTGTTAATAAATAAAACACACCAATAAAGAGATTAGAACAAGGAAAACATCTCTTGCTTTTCAACCTGATCTTTTACTTGCCTAAATTTTTAGGGATTTCTTTCAGAAATGCGTCATCAGTATATTCTGAACATGTGTTCCTTTCAACTTTGTCCCATGTTGTCTTGATGTCTCCCGTTGACCTATGGACAGACAGAAGCACAGTAGGTCAGCAACATGGACTTTACCTGGCTGATTTCAAAGTTGTTGATTTTAGAATGCAACACCACCTTAAGCCCACCAGAGTTGTTACCTAAAACCACTTTTGTACAACTCAGGTGTTTGTCTTTCTGCTGTGAACCTGCCTGTGTGACTTAATGGTTTCACCAGCCATTCCTGCAGTGGATATGCAGCTTTCTTAAGGATGTAACCTAGTGTCAGCCAACCCAAATCTCCCCCTTTCTGCTGGAAGGATGTGCCCCACACCTAACCAATTCCCACAAAGCAGACATCCACAGAACTCTGGGGTTATGCTCCAAAGCAATCCTACTGAGACCTTCCAGATGAAAACCTTACCGCCCAAAGCACATTGGAGGAATATTAAGGCCTACGTTGGTTGAAGTTTGTTTTGTATTCTTGGGGTGCAGTAATTGGTGTGTGCAAGCCACCCAGTGCACTCCCAGTTAGAAAAACCTCCAGCAGGTATTCCCCCTTCCCAGCCATTACTTATCCAATGGGAAACCCCTGGTTTCAAGTGGAGTAGAACTGGCAGAGTGGAGCAAAGCCATGTGAAGCTGAAAACAAGGAGGAGATGGAAGAGGAGCATCTGATACTATAAAGAAGGAGAGGGGAGACAGCTCTGTAAAAATGTTTAACATTCATAAAAAAGGACAAAATCTACATATTTGATAATTTTGTAAGTTGTGACCAGATATTTTACATTATAAGTGAGATCTGATTAGATAAGAAATGTGCCCTGAGAACCTGCCTTTTGTTAGCTCACTATAGTTGATTTAATTTCCTACTGCTACCTCAACAGCTAAATGTACTCTTTAAACCCCAAAATGTGATTAAAAAGCAATTGTGTAGTGATATTTTACCTTTTTTTTAAGTAAAAAGTACAGTGCTGTAAAACTACTCCTAAAAGTATTTTATGTTCCGTAAAAGAACAAGTCAATGTAACTGAGTAAATGTAACTAGGTACTACCCTCTGATTCTACATTTAGGGTCTCCATCTAGAAAAAGGCGAGTGAAGCCATGTGTCACCAAGTACTCAGGTATTTATAACTAATGTAGGTCATAAAGTTGATTCAGTAAAAAAACTTGTATTTCATCAGGTACAGTTATGCTCTAACACAGAGGTCTTCTACAGGGGGTCCACGGCCCCTAGGGCTCCAAGGAGGTACTGCATGGGGGTCATGAAAGTTTTTACTGATTTAGATTTTTTTTTTTTATATTCCCCCCTGCAATTTTTTCCACTTATGGAAATATCTTTAAATACACATTATTAAGAATTCAACACTGTAGTAAACAGATAAATGGAGGCAGAAGATGTCTTTCTGTCATCAATGCACACATTCAGCGACACATAGGAGCTCTTTCAAGCTGGGGACCGTTTCATTCACAACATCTGTCTCATCAACCAGGAATCAGAATCAGAAATACTTTAATAATCCCAGAGCGAAATTACCTTCATTACATTACTCCATCTGTAATAGAGTGACTATAGGACCAGTTTGATATAACACTATTTTATACAATATATATATATATATAATTGGGGGGGTTCTCGCTTCATCTTGCCAGCAGTTTGGGGGTCCTTGGCCTGGAAAACATTAAAGACGCACTTTCATTTAATAATTTCAAGTTTTTAAACAAAGTTTTTATTATCAAAAACTTTGGTTTGTCTTTTTAGATCATCACAGCAAAAATGACTGAAGTGAGCCAGTGAAAAAAAGTTTTCATAATCTAGTCCTTACCTTGCATTTTCCGCTTCAGCGCCAATGACAGCTTGAAATTCATTCTGGTAGTGATGAATGAGGCACATCGTGTTCTCAGATAGTGAAGATTTCTTTTCAGTCACGTTCAAGGATGTCCTATGCATAACTTCCTGATTACTGCAATTGTTTCTCCAGTATTTATCCATTACTTGCCACATTTGTTTCACAGTTGGAATGTTTTTAGTTTTTTCAAGTCTCTTAAGGTATTGTTGGATTAATGTTTCTTGTCATAACTTTAAAATTTTGGATTTCTGTGGCGTTTTCATAGTTGTTAAGGTATGTTCACAAACCAAACACCAATGTCGCAGCTGTAGCGAAGGATTCCCATGTTATCTCTATGTAGAAGGGCGGATCTAGTTGTGAAGTAAGGCGGTGGTGCCGAAAGAGAAGAGGCGAATGGCGTGATTTTGGCTACATTTGATCGCCTCCTTGTCTGTGAGTCAAAGTAAAAGATCGGAAGTTTAGTTTACATTCGCATCGCACATCCAGACAGGAAATAGATGTGGCTGTGAGCTGTTCATGAGCTAGTTATCATAATTCGTCTGGGACAGTCAAAAAATCTAATCAAAAGCAGCATTTTGTATTACTAAGATATCATTTAATGTAGTCTTTTATTTTTTTTTTATTTTTTCAATTTGGTATTATTTGAATTCCTAGGAGGGTATGTAAACTTTTAAGCACAACTGTATGTGTGAGTGTAATCGGTCCAGTTTTATTCAGGCCAAAGATTAAGTCGAGATTCAAGAAGATGCGGTTTTTAACAATTCAAGACTGAGACCTCAAAAAAAAAAAAAAGAGAGAGAGAGAAAAAAAGAAAGCATTGAGCAACATTAATGTTCAGCTTAACCTTTTTTTACTCCTTTTTCACGTCTAATTTCAGTTTGTCTCTGACTGAGAGACACACAGGAACTTGATGCTATTTAGGTTTGTGTTGATTCAGTGTACCTGCCTTCCAGTCCAAATGCCCAAATCCACAGTAGTGTTTATTAGCTTAGCCTAATTGTGCATGGTATCTAAAGGTCAGTGCCTGCTGTGATGTATAACTCCCAGAATGGCTTCCAGGTGTCACAGTTTCCAATGAATAAACACTGAAAGCTGTTCTGGCTTCCACCCGACTGCTGCCATCCCTTCCCCCTCAGTGTGCAGCAGCATTGCATTGTCTTAAACATTCTTTTTCTCTTATTTATGGTCTTGCAATAGTTCTGGCACTGGTGGGCATCTACTAAGACACCACCTGACTGACTTTCATTTCTGCTTGAGAAAAGGCTACAGATTAATTTGCTTGTCAGTTCTTTTCACCCCGTGGAATTTCATTTGTGTCGATACGGGAAGAATGATATGCATGTCCTCTGGTGAATTAAAACATGCTGACTGTTTCTGTATAACAGAAGCACTCTTCTTGATGAATAGTATTATTTCTATGCTTACAGTTTATCCTTGATGGTGTAGAAGCTCATTTAATAAGAAGGACACTTGAGGGTTTCAGCAGATATGATTTGAACAGAAACAGAGATGGCTTTTTATGCATTTCATTAGGAGCAATTTAATGAACTACCTGTGCAGACATTTTTCACAAAAGATCAAGCTATGTCAGCCTTTTGACCATACCCTACGCATTCAGCCAGAGCTTCAATTAAATGGTTTAGACCTGAGGATATTTGTGTGCTTGGAATTGCCTTGTCAAAGTTCATAGTTAATTGCGATTAAGAAAAACAAGTGTTGACTTGAAAAATATGGATATTTTTAAGGCCTTTTCTAGGTCTGTTTTAATATGAAAACAAAACTGAGAATCACTGAGAATTGTCTCATAAGTGATTTAAGTCCAAATTCAAAAAAGCTGTTAAATAACGCCAAACTAAACTGCAATTACACTGTTTTATGATTTATAGATTCTACAAATACTCAAACCTGATCATTTCCTACAAGTTTCTGAGTTAACAACTTGTTAAAATGAATATGAAAGCAAAACTGATAGACATTTAATCTCATTAGAATTTTTTTTTTGGACTCTTTTGTAACCATTCATATTATCTGTCCTTGATTTGTCACATGGTCACACCCAGAGAGGTTGGCTACTGTCCCATGAATCTTAAATTTCCGAATAATTTATTGAAATGTAGTCACAAGAACATGAAGCTGCTTGGAGATGGTCTTATTGCCTTTACCTTTAACATGTATGTCTGTTATTTTCTTTCTGATTTGCTGTAGTGGGAAAAAAGTATTCAACTATTCACCCTAGTTAAATAAACAGAGATCGATAATTTCACTCAATCGGAATTTTATTTTATCATATCTTTGCAAAGAGAGAACAGTTCATCATACAACCCTTATGGCACAGCATTCAGCCCTGTTCTGCATGAGCTGCGTTCGCTCCCCCTTACTTACAACAATGGAAAGTAGTCAGAGTCAAAACAAATTACAGACACTTTGGTTAACAGTAACATGTTATGAATAAACCTTGACAAAGAATCTGGTTTGTTATGGGAAGAAGCTATATCTGGTCTACAAACACCATCACACAGAGAATTGCGTGGCCTTCAAGGTGAAACAGACTAAGTGAAAAATTTTATAGTGAGTAAATAAGATAAATGAATATCTAATAGAAGAGAAATCCAAATTTCCAGCAAAATCCGACAGAATTTGCTGAGATAGCACTCTTCTTCACTTCCTCTTGTCCATGTTGAGTGTGGTACACACCATGTCAGCACAGCACTGATGATTACGATATTGTAAACATCTGAGATGCTAATTAGTGGAAACGCCTCAATTTAACATGTTTGGTCACAATATTTTCCCTTTTTGTCTAGGGGAAGGCATTATTTTTGTCAGATTCAAGGTAGTTTTCCAACCATTGTGGGATTATCTTTTAATAACTAGCAGTACCAACAATCTTATGGAGCATATTACTTGCAGTAGATGAGATTTAAAAAATATATATTTTCCTAGGGTGGTTGTTTTTTGATGATATACATTTTTTGTTTGATTTTTTTTTCTCTTTGTGCTGTTATAAACAGACCTTGTTGGGTGGAGGCCCTCAAATGGGTCTTAGCAAGTTTGAAAACACACTCTGGGACGTCCTGATTCGAGGCAACAACTATAAGGTAAGATCAAGCACTATTATCTCTTATATTATTAACATGTTTCCATTTTTATATTTTACTCATTCTTTGTTTGCTTATTCGGTAACGTGTTGCCTAGAATTCTAATGAAGGGTTGTTGTTTATTTAACATTATAACCACATGTAAATTTTGCTAATATAACATTGTGTGAAGTTACAGAACTTAGAAGTTACATTATTTTTACCAATTAATTAAACATTGCTATATTACATTTACAGTAAAATATATAGTATTTTGTTGCATAGGCAAAATCTGACGACAAAATCTGATTTGACACTCATTACGGATTTTTAGAAGTCCTATACAATGGGTCACTGAGCAAGACCCTTTACCCCACACTGCTTCCCGGCACCACACAATGGCAGCCCACTGCATCCCAAGGCGATGGGTTAAGTGCAGAGAGGGAATTTCCCCATTGTGGGACAATAAAGGGATTTACATTTAAAAAAAATAATAAAGATAGCCTGTGTTGTAAGAAATATCTCCTGCAGCACTTTTGAGAAGCTTTAAATTGTTATCTCTTACTTCCCTTTTCCATGGGTGTACATTTGATTTAACACAGGTGCATTTGTCCAACTTGGCTTCAAAAAGCAAAAACAAAGGAAGGTTGTGATTAACATGTTTCGTGACTAAATGTTCACTTATCTAGAGTCATAGTCGTAAAAAACAACTATAACTGTGATGAACATTGATGGACAAGAGACTAAGCCTTGATGAATCTTTCCGTGTCAAAACACACTGTCTCGAATCAACAGCTGTTGATTAGCTAGAAGTAAAGAAAGGTTGGAAAAAGCATTATGTATAGCTTTAAGTAACTAGGTTTCTTTTTGGTTATATAAGCTTTCTCCCTTTTCCTACATGTGTAGCAGATGGGTGCCTGCCCTACCCCATATTTATGTATTAATGTACAGTACAGGATTTTTGCAATGCCTCAGAATCAGTTTTACTCTGTTGGAGCACATTTTATATAAAGGTTGCATTTAAAATCTTGAATTTAATTTAAGTTCCTCAATAACACTCAATTAAAAGTCACTACAATAAGCTCTGAGTCATTTGTTACATTTTGATTTTTAGGTTGTAAAACTGTAAAACTTAACAAAATTTAATTAATGCAATTACATAAGGTACAATCATGAAGGTAAATATTGTTAAAAACAGTAATTAAATAAAGTTTGAGTAAATCAGAAAATAACCAGTTGCAGCCTTGCTCACAATCATCTGTAATATTTATTGTTTATTAGGCTCTAGCTTTTGTTCTCATCAAGGAATAAAGAACATCCAGGCTTTTGATGCAGATATTGTACAAGTTCAAATTTATTGTCTGCAATTTTTTTTCTCTTACTTATTTCCAGATGGGCTCCATCACTATTTTTGCAGTTTAAGGAATGTTATTATTACAGTGCATCCTTATGAGTGCATGAGCTATTCTTGACACATGCCACATTTGTTAACCAGTAGTTATTTCAAAATTTAATGAAAACAGCGTGAGATGGTATAAATGTGCATAGCTAAAAGTGTGATTCACCTGTTATGGAAAATCCACTGACTACTAAAGTGACTCAGAAAAGTGTCCTAGGTATTTACAGCACAACTGTCTCAAACTTCTCTCTGTTTGCATTAAATGTTTAAAAGTGTGTTACTCTTTCCTGTCAAAACAGAAATTACCTCCTTTTACTCGTCTTTGTTTAATCCACTGTCGCTCCCTAAGGCGCTGGCATCTTTTTTTGAAAAACTGTCATACATCCATGTTATTTCTTCTATATAGCCAACAGCCGAAGCTTGAAAGAAAACCCCCGTTTCTCTCTATCTCTCTAACAGAGATACCATCCTTTAATTTCCTCCCCTTCAGATAAAAAGATGAGACGGGAACAAGGCGAAAGTGAGGCCTATTGCTGGGCAGCAGTGATTGAGTCCCTTCACTAAGCCAGCAAGAATCTCTGCAAATAACCTTCTCTGACGATAAGGAGCTAGTCATTTCCATAGACAAAAAAAAAAAAAGAATCCAAAACATTAGGGATCAGATTAGATTTCAGCGTGTGCCGGGCTTATCTCCATGCTGCTTCAGAGAAAATGAATCAGAAGGCAAACTCCTGCAGCCCATCTTTTAATAAAAACACACTATTAAAAAACATGTGGAGCAGATATGGAATAATTTTATTTCTGCAGCTATTGTTAGGAGTTCTCCATAGCTTATATTTGTTTTTTGTGTTAAATTAACATAGAAAGAAAATACAACAATGTCATTTGTTTTGTACTCCATTGTTTAAAGGGATTTCTGTTTTGAAAGAAAATATCTTCTTTTGCTTGGAGGTTTATTGTTTTTTGTTTTTTTATCTTAAAAAAAAATAAAGACTCCAAATTGTCTTGCATGTTGTATGAAAGGAGAGGTTAACACCTTGAAAAGGATGGAATTGGCCTTGTAGCCTGCAACACATATACAGTTAAGGCATTGCCACCTATTTCGTGGCATCTCTGGCTGCCTAGCTCAAGTGGTAAGTCACCCGTAACTCATATCCCAGCTTCGGGAAATGAACTGCCAGTGTGGGTCCTTCAAGTCCCTTCATGCTAATGCCTGCTTTGGGGAGTGGTTGGGACACTGCGCTTGGAATGGGTGACACCCTTAACTCTACACTGCGCTCCAGGTCGGGCACAATGGCAGTCCACCCACTGCTCCCCAAGAAGATGGGTTGAAGAGAGTTCAACCCATCTTCTTGAGAGTTCAATAAAATGAAGGGGGAAAAATTATACCTTAAGCCAATTCAAATATAGGTAAATACTACTCTATCCAAGAAGGTGGTTTTCTGGTGGGACAACAAAGTAGCTGATAATAACAGATAAAACGTGAACGGAGCATGAAATTTTAAAAAAAGAAGTCATTGTAAATTATATTGAATTCATTATAAATCTAGTTGTGAATAAAGCAACAGCAGACCTAACACCTCCTATTTACATTTTCAAAAATTAACATAAGCTCAAATTTTAATGAAGCCTAGGCGGAAGTTCAACTGACATAACTGAATTACCAACCCTTATCTGCCTCCGCCACAACACAGTCAGCTTTGAACCACACCTCTGCAAAGCCCAATCAGCATCCAGAGTTCACCTTAGAACGGCTCTAAATCCACAAGAGGTTGGTGGCAGTGGTTGCGTTATGTCTTCTCCACCATCATAGCTAAAGCTTCATCTGACTTTTCCACGGTGCTTCTTCTACTTCGTCCGCATCAGAGTTTAATTCCTCCCATACTCTTACTGCATTCCATGTCTCATCTCAACTGGTCAGGTAGGAGACCGCCATGTTGAGCCTGGTTCTGCCAGAGGCTTTTATCCCAAAGTAGAGTTTTTCTTCTCCACTGTCACTGGACATCTAACTGGACATCTAACTTCCTAGGTCTTTGAGTGAAGCACGAGTATCAGACCAAACAGTCTATTGGATCTCACCAATACAGCTCAAGCACACCGTCTTGCCAACCAGCAGTCTATGGACTGAACCTACTCAATATATCTTCACTCCACCGCCAGTTTCAGGCTTTGATATTTGTTACTCGGAATACTCCAATGATATAACACTGTTCAGCATTGCAACGATTACAAATAACTTTGCTTTATCCAGCCTAACGTCACTTCCGTATAGGAGTCAAGTACTTTTTCCCATATTTCTGTCTTGCTAAATTTCTGTTGGAGGCAAGTTCTGCGAGGCACCAGTCTTAAAATACAAATGCTGTACTTGGTTGAGACACACAATGGTGTCCATCCAAGGCCAGTACTATTTAACATCCCACCCATCCTGGGACCCAGTTGTGTTTTTTTTGTGTGTGTCCATGTGTACTTGTGAGGCACCAAAGAAACATCCTCAAGAAATGAAATTAAAATAAAATGGCTATTGGTGTTAAGCAAGAGCTGTATAACGTAATAATAACATGTTAAAAGTGACGAGCAGTGCTCAAAATACTTTTGCTAAATTGGTAGTGATTTTACTCTTCTCCAAAGCGGTTACCAGATCTTAATCCACTAGAGAAGAGAGATTTGTATTATCTATGCCATGAAATCTAGCATATGATGTAATCACCTTAATAAGGACCACCACCTTCTATGAATTTTTCAGGCAAATATTTGCATTTAGGCCATGAAGAATTGAGGCAATTCTTGAGAGAAAATGTGTTCTAACAAGGTACTCATAAGATTTACCTAATAAAGTACCCCAAGAGTGTATTAAAATAAACTTTACTTGATTATAACACTTCTTTATGCTGATGTAGGAAGGCCAATAGTCACCATTACATGCAAAGCAACTAAAAATGACCCAATGAGTAATTTGTTAATGGAAACTTGCAGTGACACTCCATAATCAGAGAGACACTTGTTTGTAGAGATGCTTTGAACTCACAATAAGGCATTTTCATACATCTTTCTCTCTTTATTCAGTGAGTAATCAAACTTCTCAGCTGTGGTTGACATCCTCCAGCCTAATTCACGTGTCCTCAAGATGCCAAAAAAACTAAAATAACGGATCAGGAAAAAAGCGTGTTGCAGGCCGGTACTGCTTCAAAACCATTGACGGAGCTGACCTTTTCATGCTGATACAAAGGGACTGGGTGTTATTGTGTTAGGTTGAAACCTGACACAGTAGCTACACCAGCTAATGGCGTGTTTTCCTACCAGACTCTGCTTCTATACACAATGCACATCCCAGCAACGAGAAAAAAAGGTTGAGACAGAGCCATCTGTAAGGAAGCAAAAATAAATGAATCATCAAATGCCTTAATTTGGAGCTAATTATTTTCATGTTTCCTTATAAGAGTAAAGCTAACCCTCTCATTAGGTGTCAGTGAGATTGTTTGGTTTTGGCAGTCCTCAGTTACAGCTAATATACATTTTAAGGGCAAGGAATTTATCATGCTCATTCATACCTCTTATTTATAGAAGTGCTGTTTTGCTTCACCGTCTTTGGTTTTTCTTGCTGTTTGACTATTTGTGTTTTGTTACTAAAACAAAAGTTTGAGTAATTGCAAACAGATAATCTGTTGAGATTGGTGCTAATTAAGAGCTCTGTCATGGTTAAAAGCAAGGAATTGCTCTTTTTTACCTGGCATAAAAAAACAGACTCGGCACTGTCGTTATTAAACCAAGATAAAAACAAAGTTTAAAAGAAAAAAAGGAAAGAAAAGTCACATTTTTGCTGCAGTATCACTCAGTTGCAGGTTAGCAGTTTGATGGTCTGAAGCATTCAGGTTAATGTCATCGATGTCTTTTCACGAAGAGCAAAGGAATCCAATCCCTGACACCATATTTTAAATCTATCAGGAATTTGGGTTTAAAGGTGAACGGTGATTTTGAATTGTTAAAGCAAATTCGGATCTTGCTTTTGTTCATTTAAGATTATTGGCAAAACTAAAACCTTTCCTCTGAAGAAAGCATTTTGTAACAGTTATCCATGCTTTTATTTAATCTCTGTATGATTATTCCAACGGAGTTGCGTGTGCCAGTCTTTGCTGTCTTGCCTGTAGCTGCTACAAAACGCACCTGCTCGTCTTTTAACTGCTATTCTAAATTGTGATCACTCCTGTCCTGTCTTTGCCTCCACTGCCTGTGCATTTTAGAGTTGATTTTAAAATTATTACTTTTTTTTTTAAATGCTTACATGATCTTGCCTTATTTTACCTCTTTGAGCTTCTTCCCCCCTACCTGCAGGTACTGAGGTTCTTTTAGGGAACAACTTCCTGCTGCACCTTAGGAAGACTCCTTCACTGCCAAATTTTAAAACTCAGCTAAAGGCAAGGCAAGGCAAGGCATTTATCTGTATAGCACAATTCAGTACAAAGACAATGCTAAGTGCTTTACATGATTTAAATATAGGAAAATAAAACAGAATCAATGCAAGTAGGAAAAAAATAAGAAAATGAATAAATAAAATAAAGACTTTAATTCGCTGGCTTTTAACACTGGCATGGCTTACTTGTGACCTTCTTTACTTAGTTTAACCAAATTCTTATTATTATTACCTTACTTTATATCTTTATGCTGCATTTTGTTCTTTTATTGGGTGTTTTATTATTTTTAGCTATGTACAGCACTATTTTCACCTGTTAGCTCTTTTGAAGTACTTGACAAATAAAGATGATGATGATTATGATGATTAATTGCAATCAGTCTTGGAAGTGCTGTAAGGACATTTTCAAAAAATTTGAAGTCATTTTGCACTGAGAAGATTTTTTTAAAGTGAAAAACACTTCAGACTGCTGCCCATAGACATTAAGAAAATAATCATCTCAAACTCTTTAGGGCTCACTTAGCTTATTAAAGCAGCAGATATAGTTTCAAAAGCATAGAGCCATTAAAAGTGAGAGCTTTAAATTTTCTAGTGAGGGGACTAGAATTAGCAGCATATTTTGGGTAACGCCGGGGAGCTTTTTGGAATGGAGATGGTTACACTGTTTTTAGTGCTCCAGTGTGAACATTTAATGGACCCCCGGCTGTGTTCTGTCTCACCATCACAGAGGCCTTAAGCAAACCTGACATCCTCAGCATTTGTGGGACACTCCATATAGCTATCACAGCACATTTTCTACCCCCGTCCTCTCGCCACTCCTTTTTAAGCAAAATCAACTTTGGTAAATATTTCATAGGGAACATTGCCTCAGTTTCTCTGTGTCGAGTGCAGAAAATGGCACGCGATGACGACTGACAGGCCCCTTGTTGTAATGTCTCCTCTGAGACCTCCTTTCTTTTTGGTTTGTCTTCCTGACAGTCCTAAAGCTTTTTGCCATCCTGTTTCCCTTCTGTCACACTCCCAGCCTGGTTTAGTCTGGATGCTGTTCATTTAGCTGCTGCTTTAAATTTTACTGTGACCACAGAACTTCTGCCCATCCATCTGATACTGTTAGTTAAAATGCCAACATATGGGTGAAAGTCTTGTCTTTGGTCCAGAGACTGCAGTATTTATGGAACTAAATGAAACTATTTATCCATTTTGAGATCATTCTGCAGTTAAATAGCTTTTTTTTCTTGTTTTTTTTCTTTTAGGAACAGGGACCTATGAAAATTGGGGACATAAGAAAGCAGCTCTGTTAGCAAAGAAAAAGTAATAATTAAAAAAGAAGTTTATACATGCATGCATTGCTATTTCATTTATTTTTTTTACATTGCTGCTTTGGAAAATGGAGCAAAATAAAGTCCATAGTTTTTTATAGTTTTTTCTACTCTAGAAACAATCTAATCTAAAACACCTAAATTAGTTCACCACTTTGAAATAATTTACAATTTGATGAATTTCCATTTAGTGGCAAAACTATCACTGAGATTGCTCCATGTTTGTCCAGCTGTCAATCCCAGCTGAGATCACACCCAGCCCTCACCCTCCAACATGTTCTCTGGCCCCCCAGGAAAACAGACATAATATATAAAAGTTTTAAAAATATTATATCTGGGCAGAAGTGAGGTACTGAAAAGGGGTTGAGTTTTTATTTAATTAATTAGTGTGTTTGTCCAACA